CAAAATTAACCCTTTAAAGATAATGATATAGTTTTGTCAGCAGAATTGCTTTACAATACGTCTACTTTGCGGGGCTGGTAGTGGGTATTTTATACAATAATACAGGTCGGACTCGATTATCCGGAGACTCGATTATCCGGGGTTCGATTATCCGGAATTTTAGACTCGATTATCCCGAGTATTTTTTTGCGTTTTTTTTCTATAAGTTTTTTTTTAGTATTATAATATACAATATGATTATTTTAACAATATTAGATGTAGCTAAGAGGGGGGGGGGGGGGGGCAGATTTGATTTTCCGGAGTGAAAAAAAATCGATACTCCGGATAATCGAGTCCGACCTGTAGTGGCTGTAGAGTCTAAAATAACGAAAAAAGTGACCAAATAGTGAGATTAAAACAGACAAAAATTACCAATAGTGACATGTATTGATCGGAAAGAAATGAAAGATGTGGTTCCGATCTGTCGTGAAATGCGACCCACTTTGAGAAAAATTTTAAACTCACAAACCAGCATTTTTCAATAGGTTAATTACTAACCTCCATTTCCTCACTCAGTGCTCATTTTCCTGTCTCTATTTTTGGGAAACCAACCATTTAAGATGTTTTTAGATTCTGAACGCGAATTGGTTATGAATGAATTTCGGGATGTGAACGATTGAACATAGTCATTAATTAGGAAATCTTGAAATTGAGAAAAATTGAGGTGCAGAGAGAAAAGCTCAAAGTCTAGTACAAATTTGTCAATTTTAAGATAAGCCATTTTAAAGATCTCGAATATAGAAACTTCTGTAAATCTTCGGACATAGACAAATGTTCATATATCTGGAACCTAGATAACTGTTCTAGATCCAATCAACCAATTCGACAGGGACATACACTCCGATACGAACGTTAGCTGCACTACCCGCACCCGTTCCGGAAAATGTTTTGCCTCTCCGGAACCGGTTTGAGTTGCCAAACGAAAACGCCGTACACAGCAGTAATTGGAAGCCGATCGATGTAGAAGTAATAGAAAAAAAGATGAATAAGAATAGGCTGAGCAGACGAGGCAGCAAGAGATAAAAACGTAACATTAAATCCTATATGTCCCGATCGATTCGTATACAGAAGTTTCAATGCGCCGCCTGTTTGGAAAGGATTCCCCGCGACATGAGGGAGTGCCACTACGCGAAGCATGCCGGCCTTACCTATCGGGTTGATATCGATCCAGTGGTCGATCTGTATGACGAAACTACTTCCACGGCGATTGTAACCATGAAAGTGCACCGGCAAGTGACGATCTACTGCGACAAATGCAACGTGCCTAAGAAATCGTCTCTCGGATTAGTATTCCACCGGTTGGTTTGGCCAACCAGTACTCGCACTGTCTGGTTCTGCAGAAGAAAAGAAGAAGCTGGAGCAGACAAAACTGATCAACAGGCAGCTTGGGTGGATCCTTCCAGTTCCGCTACGGAGGAGCAAATGCGTACCGAGTATGGCCGGGTTCTGTTTGTTGGCGTCCAACAATGATGTCTTCTCGGTCGCGGATGACTCTGACTTTAGTTAGAAGCATGGACTGAAGAAATCTGTAGCAGCAATTGCAACAAGCGCGAATCATTGACTGCTCAACATCGTTTACTTGTACGCAAATGTTAACCCTATGTGGTCATCCCTAATCATTTTGGCCTCTGGTCTTTCATTATACAAAAGAAGTGCAGACGACATAATGACATGCTGTTTGACAACAGGCTCAATTTTCGTTAGAGAAAAAGAGATAACAGGTAGTTCCCCCTACTTTAAGCTAGTACATATGAGTAGATAGTGTTGTCGTGAGGTACACTCGAAAATTTTAAATGTAAGTGCGTCAAATCAAATTTCGAGCCGCTCCGTCTGTCACTTCGTTTGTGCCCATCTGGTGACTGATGGCACAAGCTTCTAAGAAAATTCTTTTACAGCGAACCACATTATTTTAATTGATTTCTTCGCCAGTTAGTCGTCTGTCACTTTGTTTGTGCTAATATGCTTCAAGTAGTGAGCCAATTTTAAATCGTTAGTTTTCAACCGGTGATGTTACCTTGCTTAAATACAACTAAATCATAATGTTTTCTAATGTTTCACATCAGGAATACATTTGATTTCGATGCTGATGTAGACATCAAAATCAAACGTTGGGCTAATGTAAATTTTTACAAGGGATTTTTCTCAATGACATAATCAATGAGTGTTACATTGGACGTTTTGTTCTACATCCCTAATAAAAATAACAATAAAAGAGAGCTTAACGACGTGTTCGGGGTATCATCCAATCCATTTGTGGGATACCCAACAAACATTGAATGCTGAATAAGAGCTTATTCAGGCAAAAATATGCTTCTTCAGCGAAAAAATAGCTTATTCGACTATTAATCAACTCAAATTGTTTGTTGGGTAGTTTACCTATCTGGAATACAGTTCGTTTATGGTATTTGTTTATTAGGGATACACAGCAAAAAAAATGTAATATCGATCAATGTAATTCAAGCTGATGTATGAAATAATGATGTAATAGCAAAAAGCAGATAGAATATTACATCAATGGATGTAATTTTGTTCGCAAAATCGATGTACATCGTACAACGTTATATTACACAACCGATGGATTGACCTGGTTGCAGCAGTTTGGATGTAATATTCAACAACTTTTTTTTCTGTGTAGATTCCCTTTCACAGATTTCAGAGTAGAGTACCTAACATTAGATTGACCCCGCCTTTAGAAAATGAGCACCAATCATGTTAGGCAGTCCAAATGACCGAAGGAACAATTATGTACCCATCATTTCAAACTGTACATTGGACGATCTTTGACCTATATGATTATCTTATATAAATGAAAGTAAATTTGGATGAGTGTTTTTGTAACACATACAATGATAGAAGAGCCTAGAGAAGACCAATAGTTTGTATCGCTTAACTCGATTTGTGCACATTTGTTACTTAGGACCTTTTGAAAAGTGACGTGAGAAATGTCTTTTTTTTTTCCTTTATTTAACGTCGGTCTCTGTTCCGCAATCTAGTGCCAATTAGAAATACTCACAGGGAGAGATAGGCGGAGAAAACAAAATACGATTCGGCAGCAGGGATTTGTTCCTAAATTATCTTGCAACCCTTGCTAGAAGCTAGCATTTCAAATGACTTTTATTTCTGATTCGATATACGTGCAAAATAATAATTGGTTGCATCGCAATATTTTACACATTTCTTGGTGCCATTCATTAACCAACGAAGATCAATTAATCAATAGAGTTAGAATATTGTTTTTGGTTCCAAAAACTAGTTAAATTTAAGAAGCACACAAAACATAACGGTGATGGAATTTCTGTTCGATTGCAATACTCTCAAATTTATTCTAGTAAGAATAAGAAATCCTCGGAAAAATTCTAATTGGAATGTCCGATTGGCTCAGATTTTGACAGTTCATTTGGCTCAAAACATTCTCTCCGTCCATCATTTCTAGTGCCAATCACCGACGGACATCGATTGCCATCCATTGACGGCAATCGAATGTGCAGGAAGGCAGCTTCCACACCTGCGTAGGATATCGCACCCATTCATCAACACACATGGGCCGGGACCAACGGCTTTACTTCCCTTCCGAAGGAAGACGTGACCAGAGATTTTTATGCCTCAGAAAAATCCCACCGACCTCGACTGGGATTGAACCCAGACCCATTGGGGTGAGAAAGCAGTCACGCTTACCACTACACCATAAAGGTAACTCTAAGACCACTGGGTCCCGAAGAAAATCATTATTATTTTTGGCTCACTCAGTACCAGAACAACGGTCCCAAGCAGTCCCAAGCTATTTCACTCACCCCTGCATGTTCTGCATGAATCCACACACCCTTGATGTTATCTGTCAAACTTTCATAGCGAATCAAAACAAACATAGTGTAGTAATAGAATTTCAACTAGAATAGGGTACGTTAATCGTTTGCTTGGGACCAATAGGCTACTAAAGTGGTGAGCCAATTTAAAATCGTTAGTTTCGTATTGATTGTTGACTACACCACCGGCGCCGGCCACGCGAGAAATGTCATTCATACACAAAAATAAACAAACACGTCACGAATAGTGAAAAGAACGTAAAATTGCCAGTAAGCATTGTTCAGTACACGCCCTAATAAACAAATACCATAAACGAACTGTATCCCAGATGGGTAAACTATCCCACAAATGGTTTGGATGATACCCCGAACACGTCGTTAAGATCTCTTTTATGGTTATTTTTATTAGGGCGTTTAGTGCATATTCTACAAATAAATAATCGCGATTCTTGGATCGCGATTACGTAAATACTATATCAGGCATAACATTTGATAACAGCACAAGAGCATTTGTAAACAAACTTTCTAAGGCCCTTTACACGTGAACCAAAGTACGCCCACGCAAACCAACATCATCGCATAGGGGCAACTAGCACCTTTCCGAAAGTGGTATTGGTTTGCGTGGACGTACTTTGGTTCACGTGTAAAGGGCCTTAGAAAGTTTGTTTACAAATGCTCTTGTGCCGTTATCAAATGTTATGCCTGATATAATTATTACACAAACTGGTATTAATCCACACGCTAATATCAGATAAGCCAAATGTAGGTTTACTTTACCCAAATCAGGCGTAAACTGCACAAATTCAGATATTGGTAAATTTTTTAACCCAAATATGGGTAGATTTAAGTCAAATTTGCATACAAATACATCATTAATGGTTCATAAGAACCCATATTTGGGTTTAAAAAAATTTACCCATATGTGAGTTGTGCAATTTACGGCCAATCTCGGTAATCTCTTTGTACCGTCTGGGTAAACTGATCTTAGCGTGCAGGTAAATACTCAACCGTTGGGTGTTTTGCTTTTCTGTGCCGGCTGGCAACACTTGGCGTTAGAATTGTCATAACAAACCGGGCACGTCTTAACCTTTTTTCAGTTTTAAGCATTTGCATAACAGTGGATTTTATATTGAATTCTGTGTTAAGGAAATATTTATAAATGCCGACATACGAGCTGGCGCTGATTTTACGGCAAATGCCACGGGTGAGTTTCCATGTTTTGTTCGTTTTGCAATGCGTTATAATGATTTATATCGAATTACAGCCGGAATTAGTTTCGGTGTTGAAGCGCACGGCAAATGCCATTTTCGATAAGGGTGGAGTAATACGCAAGCTGGACAACTTGGGAACGCGTCCCCTCCCGTTCAAAACCAGTGTGCATGGATTGGTTCACCGGACGGGTTCGCATTTTGTGTTAAAATTCGATACCCCACCCGCTACCGTCGAGGACCTGGAGGAGGAATACGGTCGGGATGTTGATATCATTCGGAAGCGAATCTACAAAGCCGATGCCACACTGCAGGAGCAAGTTAGCTGTACTATTCACGAAGAAATGCAACCTCCAGCTTACAGGAAAGAGGTCCAAAAAATGATAACCACCTCAAACAAGACCAAAAAGAAAGGCTTCCAATATAATACCGGTTATGATCATTATCCGTTCCAGAAATAGGGTCCACATAATTTATATTGAAGCTATTATAGACAATAGATGGCTTAATTAACGTAATACCAATTATTGCCTTTTCTTGAGATGCGAAACTCGAAATACTCCATAACGCTATATTCCACAAGGAACCTTGAAGAATATAAGTAAACGAAAAAATTGTAGTAATCATTAGTGAGCTTTAAATCTCTACTGGATCCAAGCTTATTAAAAAAATGTTTAATTTTAACAACCCATCTAAAGGCTGTCCATATACTATGAACAATTGGAGGGAGGGGTTGGCAAATGTCCACGGTCCATACACATGTTTAATAAAATATATGGATTATCATGGTGGGGTTTAAAATTTGTCAAAAACTGACCACGTGATATATTGCCGTTCTTTGCATGTCCGTTCCATAGCAAAAATCAGCAAACCGAGAAAATCACGTTTTAAGTTTGCTTCGTACCATTGCTCCTTATGTGACGGGACAACCAATTTGACTGTCTTTCCAAACTTTTTTAGAACAAAGTTGTTGTGTTCATTCAGTATTATGAAAATATGGGTAATTAGCTACCATTTACATTAAAAAACTCAGTTTTGACAAAAACGGCTATGGGACCGACATGCGAAGAGCGGCAGTATATGGACAACTTCCTAGAAGTTCTGATGAAAAGTGGTGTTTTCTTTTATTTTTAAATTTTGATATCGGGTAAAGCGTTACTTCATCGTAATCGCTCATTTCCGTTCTCTCTAGCAGAAAACATCAATAGTATCAATGACTTCATCGTGCATACATCAAAAAATATGTTTGTTGCGATGCGTTAGTACATAAGCTTCAATACAAAGCCTATTAGAACGCATCGTATGAATATTTACTCATTGCTCTCAAAACAAAAGAAGCGCTCCTAGCAAATTTACTTTTTCTACCTTCATCCGTAGGACGAAGATAATCTTAAGGCGTTGCAATGCGTTAGAACGGAATTGGAACTCTCAGGACGAATTTGAAATCAAAAGCAGTGTTAGATTTTTAAGAATATCTCAACAATTTTTTTTTTGGGCATCAAGCTGGAGCTGCGTGACAGCTTAGTTTTCAAGACTTGACCCATTTGAATACATTTTGCTTCTGTCTTTGACAATACAGCAGAAGGACTAGCCTATGTTGGCCGCTTGAACACTGGATTCCGTATGTATTGTTTCAAGATAGTTATAGAAAAAATGCTGTGACGTGTGCACATAGATACATCCGCGTAGTAAACCGATTGAATAAGTAAATCCGTTTCGAACGAAATATCTAAATTATGTAAGTTACGAAAACCGCGCGAATTCCGAAAGCCGTGCGAGACAACCGAAGCGAGAAAAAAGGCTTATTATCTAGAGATGAACTAGCCTAAGGCTAAAAATCTCTTAAATAAATTAAAAAAAAAAAAAAAGCTTATTATCATTTAAAGAGTGTCACCAAAATAAATGTTATAGCCTATGTTGGCAAGTTGATTAATTTTGGTTTCCTCCCTAGATATTCTACTTATTTACTACTGAGCTTTATCAAATTAGTTAATTTAAAGAACGTATCAATCATTTCAAGATTTCGCGACCGCACCGAACAAATTCTATACTACATAAGCTCAAAAGCGTTTGACAAACTCTACCGAATTGCGTATCACTTCTGCGTAAGCCCGTAGACGTAGGCGCGTTGAATCCGACAGTCGGCAAAGGTTTAACCTGTACCAACACCGCTTAAGGAACGACCTCGAGTCAGTAAAACTGGTTCAATTCTCAGGTGGAAGCATATTTCATGGGCGATTCGCTCCAGTCGAATGCATTAACTTCTTATCAACAACGCTCAACCACCAACGAGACGTGACCTAGGGAGTTCGAATGCCAGGGGGGGGGGGGGTTGACCTGCATTTCTCACAAGTTCCGGATCGAATCTCAATCCATAACCAGTAAAAAAAGGACTCAACCGTAAAGGCTCAAGCGCAATGACAGCGGAAGCGGAACGGCAGCGGCAGCGGAAAAGCCCAATCTGACTAAAGCCTACTTGTCGGATTGAAAACTAGTTAGAACCAAATCGACTTCGGTTAGGCTTTTTGATGTCATTTGTGACAACTGTCAAACTTTCCGTTTCCGTTCCGCTTCCGCCCACATTGCGCTTGGGCCTTAACAGACACACCACCCCTCCTTCCCTTCCCGGGACAATGCTTTATTTTTTCGATTTATTTTTAAAGTCGATAAAGTAGATCTGTCAAGCCAACACATACACTCTAAAGTACACTGTTATTTTTTTTAATCAATGAATTCGCCAATCAACAGTAAAATAACAATAATATATCAAGAGCAAATTTTCATTACGTCGAATGTAACAAAGGTAAACAAAGTCGAGCTATCAGTGTCAATCGATTCTCCTGCTATTACACTATATACTGTCCGAATATAGGATCAAATCCTATTTTTAAATTTATTTGCCAGTCAAATTGCTTTTTGACGTTATCACCTTCCGATCAAAATAGTTTTCGATGTTACTTAAGTCACCCAATTTCTATGGAGATGCCGTTTGACTTAAGTAACAGCGCTGAGAAACCCGTGAAAAGTGTACGTTCGTCGTTTCGCTTTCTCATTATTAAAGTGAATAAATCGAACTGTTTGTTGCTAAGATGATTTCGGTAGTCCTAAAATGATGAATGGGCTGCACGTAAGGAGATGTAATTGATAATTCTCCCGAATATCCTGGTAAATACACTTTGACTTAAGTAACAATAGGGGCCACCAAACGACGTATAGTAACTTTTGACTCAAAAACCAGTATTTTTGAGCATGAAAGCTAGCGATTTGCATTTATATGATTAAAACCCTGCTAAATATGTTAAACATTGCTATCACTATGAGATTATATGTGTTTACTTGGAAATAGGAATAACTTTTCGGTCATCAAAACAAAACTTTATTTTTTTTTTTTTTTTTCCTTGGATTTGTTTTCCGTCGATCTTGTTTTCCGTGCTGAGCACCAATGCTACCGACGCCAGGAAGGCAGCTCCCACACCTGGACCCTACCTATCGACCCATCAACTCATGAACCGGGGACCAACGGCTTTACTTCCCATCCGAAGGAAGGCGTGATCAGAGATGTTATGCCTCAGAACATCCCGGCGGCGCCGACTGGGATTGAACCCAGGCCTGCTGGGGTGAGAGGCAATCACGCTTACCACTACACCACCGGCGCCGCTAACTTTATTTTTCTCGGATTGGTGCGAATGTTACTTACGACATAATGAAAATTTGCTCTTGATATAATGTTATTGAAAAAAAATATATATGGGGAAATCTCGAAAATTTCATTGTTAAGATACTTAACAACCCCCCTTTTTTATTGTAAATTTTCCATTTACAATGAAATTTACTGTTATGTACAACATAAATCAAGGTAAATTTATTGTAGACCTAACAATATAAATCATTGTTAAGACAATAATTTTCGTCTTATTGTTACATTGTTTTTTAATGTATTTTTGTAGTTGTTTTTTTCGGAAACATATCAAGAAGACTGGCAACTCTTCCATTTTCTAATACAACCGGAATGAGACAGGCACAATCGCGTCATCTGCCACTCAAAGGTAAATGCTCCTATTGAATTGGATAACGAAGGTTCCATCCTCAGAAGAAAGCTTTGTGTATTTGCTCATTTTTCTATGCGTTGCTTCCACCTTCGCTCGAGCGCAGCGCTACTGTGTTTGTCGCTTGGATTCAGGCAACGTTGCCAGTCTTCTAGATATGTTGTCTTCGCTAGTATGGAAATATGCTATCTGGGAATCTTGATAGATTTTATTTTTTTCATATTTGTCAGTGTAGATCACGTCCAAAAATTAGCTTTCCGACTGTTGAAACCCAAAAAATGTATGGAAAAATATAGATAGAAAATTTTGAAACAAGCTTCAAACGAAAGAGGGGCACCAAAGGTTTTGTTTGGTGGGTGTTTCAGCGATACAGTTTTTTCAATATTAATTTATTTATTTATTATTCTCTTCATCGAACTTTTGTTGTCTAAATGAAGATTGATGGGGAAAAGCATACTTAGGGAAAAGCCAAGGCCTATACCAACAGCAGCGTTTGACAGTACGCAGCATGTCCCGGGCTCAAATCGTTTATTTTGCTGTTTTGGGCTCGCTGTCACGGTATAACATGTTGCCTACGCTGGGCTGGAAAAGCCTAATTGGAAAATAGGGGAAATGGATGTTATGTCGGCCTAAATGCTCCTAATTTGGGCCCATACATAAATTTGGCAATCGACTAAATTTTCAATAGCGGCCAAAAATATCCAGTAGGACCGTCCCAATGACGCGTTCATCTAGATAGAATTGATAAATAGCAGCTTTTTAGCGATGGACCCAATCTTAGATCCATAGGCCAGTCTGGTGGATAGAATTTCGATCTATCAAAAAGCGGAACCATTCCAACAATTGAAAAGGTACTATCAATATTATAAACAAAACGTTGATTATTCTTTCCTCGCCAAGCGAAGGTAAATTGCCAGCATCATCGGATAGGGGAAATTTTTCACAACCTACAGATGGCGTTAGTTTGTGTAGGTGATCCTTTAGTGTGAGAAAACGGTTTCTGAAATTTTGTTCGCAATAGCTGATGTGCTCTTTTCTGTTGTTGGTCGTGATTTGCTCGATTGGTTCCGCTATTTGACAGCTTAATTGGTTCCCGAGATTCTATCCGCCAGACTATGAATATAGCGACTAGAGTCGGTGTATAATGAGTCACGCCAAGAGAAAAACAGTTGAACTCGCATCACGGTTTTCGAAAGATTCCCTTTCTTTTAACTTGGCAACAGAGGACTTCTGCATCAACTTCAAATGACTTCTAGCGAGGAAAAAAATTAACGGCTGTAGTAAATCATTATATCAGTGATTTTGTCGAATTATCTTAAAGAAAAATAGTAGAAATTGTCATTACTGATCATTACAAAACGTATCGCATGACAAATGTAATGCTCACTGCTTGTATATGATCATTTCTTCGATAAAATTTTATATTTAATTGCAATACCTTTCGTGGACCTTTCACAGCATCGTAATGCTTG